TCACATCAAATAGGGCATAATATAAATTTGTTGAGACGACACCATATGAACTATGGTTTAGCAAGAACCTAAGCTGTCATTTCTTAAAAGTTTGGGGCTACGATGCTTATGTGAAAAAGCTTCAACCTGATAAGCTCGAACCCAAATTGGAGAATTGCGTCTTCATAGGATACCCAAAATAAATTGTTGGCTACACCTTCTATCACAGATCCGAAGGCAAGATATTCGTTGCTAAGAGTGGATCCTTTCTAGAGAAGGAGTTTCTCTTGAAAGAAGTGAGTGGGAGGAAAGTAGAACTTGATGAGTTAAATGTAGCTTCTCCCGAATTGGAAAGTAGTTCATCACAGAAATCAGTTCCAGTAATGCCTACACCAATTAGTGAGGAAGTTAATGATGATGATCAGGAAACTTCAGATCAAGTTACTACCAAACCTTGTAGGTCACCCAGAGTAAGTTCTGCATGAGAGTGGTACGGTAATCCTGTTCTGGAAGTCATGTTACTGGACCATGATGAACCTACGAACTATGAGGAAGCGATGATGAGCCAAGATTCTTCGAAATGGCCTAAGGCCATGAAATCTAAGATGGGATCCATGTATGAGAACAAAGTATGGACTTTGATTGACTTGCCCGATGATCGGTGAGCCGTTCAGAATAAATGGATCTTCAAGAGGAAGACGAACGCTGATAGTATTGTTACTATCTACAAAGATCGAATTGTCGTAAAAGGTTCGACAAGTTCAAGGTGTTGACTACGATGAGATTTTCTCACTCGTATTGATGCTTAAAAGTCTGTCCGAATCATGTTAGCAGTTGCCGCATTTTATGAAATCTGGCAAATGGATATCAAAACTACATTCCTTAATGGATTTATTAAAGAAGAGTTGTATATGATGCAACCAGAAGGTTTTGTCAATCCTAAAGGTGCTAACAAAGTGTGCAAGCTCTAGCGATCCATCTATGGACTGGTGCAAGCATCTCGGAGTTGGAATATACGCTTTGATGAGTTGATCAAAGCGTATAGTTTTATACAGACTTTTGGAGAAGTCTGTATTTACAAGAAAGTGAGTGGGAGCTCTGTAGCATTTCTGATATTATATGTGGATGACATATTTTTGATCAGAAATGATACTGAATTTCTGGATAGCATAAAAGGATACTTGAATAAGAATTTTTCAATGGAAGACCTTGGTGAAGCTTCTTACATATTAGGCATCAAGACCTATAGAGATAGATCAAGACGCTTGATAAATTTTTCAATAAGTACATACCTTGACAAGTTTTTGAAGTAGTTCAAAATGGAACAGTCAAAGAAGGAGTTTTTTCCTATGTTGCAAGGTGTGAAGTTGAGTAAAGACCGAAAACCCGACCACGGCAGAAAATAGAAAGAGAATGAAAAGTCATTCCCGATGCCTCAGTCATAGGTTCTATAAAGTATGCTATGCTGTGTACCAGATCTATTGTATACCTTAGCATGATTTTGGAAAGGGAGTACAATAGTGATCTAGGAGTAGATCACTGGACATCGGTCAAAATTATCCTTAGAAGACTCAGGAGATATTTCTCGGTTATGTAGGTGATAAAGAGTTCATCATAAGGAGTTACGTCGATGCAAGCTTTTACACCGATCCGGATGACTCTGAGTCTCAGTCTGGATACATATTGAAAGTGGGAGCAATTAGCTAGATTAGCTCCGTGCAGATCATTGTAGACATAGAAATTTGCAAATACATACGGATCTGAATATGTCAGACTCATTGACTAAACGTCTTTCACAAGCAAACCATGATCACACCTTAGTACTCTTTGGGTGTTAATCACATGGAGATGTGAACTAGACTATTGACTCTAGTAAACCCTTTGGGTATTGGTCACATGGCGATGTGAATTATAGGGTATTAATCACATGACGATGTTAACTATTGGTGTTAATCACATGGCGATGTGAACTAGATTATTTACTCTAGTGCAAGTGGGAGGCTGAAGAAAATATGCCCTAGAGGCAACAATAAAGTTGTTATTTATATTTCCTTATATCATGATAAATTTTTATTATGCATGCTAGAATTGTATTAACCGGAAACTTAGTACATATGTGAATACATAGACAAAACAGAGTGTCCCTAGTATGCCTCTACTAGACTAGCTCGTTAATCAAAGATGGTTAAGTTTCCTGACCATAGACATGTGTTGTCATTTGATGAATGAGATCACATCATTAGGGAATGATATGATGGACAAGACCCATCTGTTAGCTTAGCACTATGATTGTTTAGTTTATTGCTATTGCTTTCTCCATAACTTATACATGTTCCTATGACTATGAGATTATGCAACTCTCTAATACCGGAGGAACACTTAGTGTGCTATCAAACATCACAACATAACTGGGTGACTATAAAGATGCTCTACAGGTGTCTCCGATGGTGTTTGATGAGTTAGCATAAATCAAGATTAGGATTTGTCACTCCGTGTGTCGGAGAGGTATCTCTGGGCCATCTCGGTAATGCAAATCACTATAAGCCTTGCAAGCAATGTGACTAATGAGTTAGTCATGGGATGATGCATTACAGAACGAGTAAAGAGACTTGCCGGTAACGAGACTGAACTAGGTATTAAGATACCGACGATCGAATCTCGGGCTAGTAACATATTGATGACAAAGGGAACAATGTATGTTGTTATGCGGTTTGACCGATAAAGATCTTCGTAGAATATGTGGGACCCAATATTGACCAGAGATGAGTATCGGTCATGTCTACATAGTTCTCGAACCCGTAGGGTCCGCACGCTTAACGTTCGATGATGATCGATATTATGAGTTTATGTGTTTTGATGTACCGAAGGTAGTTCAGAGTCCCAGATGTGATCGCGGACATGACGAGGAGTCTCAAAATGGTCGAGACATAAAGATCGATATATTGTAAGGCTATGTTTAGACATCGGAATGGTTCCGAATGAGTTCGGGCATTTACCGGAGTACTAGGGGGTTACCGAAACCCCCCGGGGAGTCAATGGGCCTTATTGGGCCTTAGTAGGAGAGAGGAGGAGGCGGCCAGGTGGAGGGCGCCCCCCCCCAAGCCCAATCCGAATTGGGTGGGGGCCAGCCCCCCGTTTCCTTCCCTCTCTCTCCCTCTTCCTTCATCTCCTACTCCTACTAGGAAGGGGGGAAACCTACTCCTACTTGGAGTAGGACTCCCACCTTGGGCGCGCCCTATGAGGGCCGGCCCTCCCCTCCTCCACTCCTTTATATACGGGGGAAGGGGGCACCCCATACACACACAAGTTGATTGTTTAGCTGTGTGCGGTGCCCCCCTCCATAGATTTCCACCTCGGTCATATCGTTGTAATGCTTAGGTGAAGCCATGCGTCGGTAACTTCATCATCACCGTCATCACGCCGTTATGCTGTCAAAACTCTCGCTCGGCCTCAACTGGATCAAGAGTACGAGGGACATCACCGAGCTGGACGTGTGCAGATCGTGGAGGTGCCGTGCGTTCGGTACTTGATCGGTTGGATCGCGAAGACGTTCGACTACATCAACCGCATTTAATAATGATTCCGCTTTCGGTCTACGAGGATACGTAGACATACTCTTCCCCTCTCGTTGCTATGCATCACCTAGATGGATCTTGCGTGTGCGTAGGAAAATTTTGAAATTATTGCGTTCCCCAACACCCCAGGCCTGCTTCCATGAGCCGCCATCTTCACACCTTGGGCCTTCTTGAACCTTCTTCATATTAAACCACCAATGGTGTAACCCCACCCCTCCTGGGCGGGTCACACCTCGAAGCTATATCCCCAATAGGACCCCCTACCCGAGATCAGCTGATTTTAATACCGACAATGTGTGGTTTACAAAGATCATAGAGTTACATAGTCATTTATAAGGAGATATTGGTTGAACTTTAAGTAAGGTCGATGCCATGGTAGTTTAAAAGAAATGCTAGATCTCCATATACATGGTTAGATCAAGAATGTGATGAGAACGTTGTAATTCTAACTTATAATTCACATAACTACCATATAATAATGCAAATGATTGCACATGAAGCACATGCTATTAACTAAATGGAGCAACTTTCCTTTTCACTGAGAACAATGGAGTAAGTAACTATGAGTAACTTACAAGAATCATAGAGTTACAATAATCATTTAAGAGAAGATATTGGTCAAACATTTGGTGGGATGAACCAATCCAATAAACCTAGATAGAGGGAGTATGACAGTAATAATACGTAAATACTAGAGGTGCATAGTACAATCTTGAGCTAATAAATGAAGTAAATAGCTATGAGTTATTTTCAAGGATCTTAGAATTACACACAATCATTTATGAGAAGATATTGTTTAAAAGTTCGGTTAGATGAATCTGTGCACTAAACCCAGACGGGAGGAGTACAATAGTAGTAGTACATTCTTATATAGGTGTGTAGTACAATCTTGAGCTCATAAATGGTGTAACTAGCTATGAGTGATTTGCAAAAATCTCTGCATTACACATAATCATTTATAAGAAGATTTTTGGTTAAATGTTCGATTGGATGAACGCATCCAGTAAACCCAGACGGAGAGTGTACGACAGTAGTAGTACACTCGTACTATAGGTTTGTAGTACAACAATTAATATTGAGCTAATAAATGTTTGCTTGCCTCCAATGAAAGAAAGTGAAACGTACATTCATCCATTAATTCCCCAAGGGCAATACCAGAAATCACTTCTCCCAAGGGGCCAACGCACAAGACTTTCCTGGGTAGAAATGCTCGTTCGGAACCTTCCTCGTGCCTTCCACCGGCCGCGCGGTCCCTCGCTGGTGCGTGGGACCCACCGCAAGCCCCCTCTTGCCTTTACATGGCCATCATGTATATAGGGACTCGTCTCACACCCACTTGCCAACCCACAACTTCTACTCTGCTTCAATAAAAAAGTTACCAATTTACCAATTCCGGCGACCCCTCCCCCCCCTGACGACGACTTCGGCGAGGTACCAGCGGCCATCATGTGTGGTGGAGCGTCCCTCGCGGACGTCAAGGTTCCCACGGTGACGCGGAAAGTGACGAAGGCGGCTCTATGTCCCAAGAAGAAGAAGCCCCGGCATGGCAGCAACGGGGGCCGATGCTTCACAGGGCTTGGTGGGCGCATGGGACCCGACGTGGACGACAACGAGGAGGATTTCGAGGCCGAACTCGAAGTGTTCGAGGTCGACTTCTGGGACTCCGACGTGGAGCTCGGGCGCACTAGGGTGGATGAGAAGGATGACGACAACGAGGTCGTCGAGATCAAGTCCTTTGCCGCCGCCAAGAGTTCCCTCTCCCAAGGTATCAGACCTGGGTCGCTTGGACTAGTTTTTAATCTACGTATCATTACCTTTTAGTGATTGGTTGTTGTACCAGGAGATTGTGTGATTGGTTCGGAAAAGGTTTGATCATTTGATTTGGTAGGAAGAGAAATTGTGTAGGGGTTGCTGTTGGAAGGCTATGTTTGGGCGGTGTTACTTCTGTTTGTGTAGCGATTTTGGATTGGATGTGCTATCAAAAAGTTTATTTCGGTGAAGGGTTAGGCTTTTTTCATTTGTCTGTTGTGGTCAGTTGGTAGGCTGTTTTTGACATTGTCCCTTTCTTTCAGAGAAGCGATTTTGGTTATTAAGTTGTTGATCTTATGACTTGTAATTTTCTAGACCTTCGATGGTGATCCATAAGCTTACCATTTAGTCAAAAGGGGTAGTAAATCCGCGAAAAGGCCCAAATTTCTCTATTTTGCTTAGAGGCCTTGTCCTCTTAAATTGTTTCCTTGTTAGGTGGTTGTAGTTATCTGTGAGGATTGTACTTGGTTTCGTCTATAATGCAATTGTAGAATGATGTCAGAGGTCTAACATGAGGTCTTGTTTATCAGGACCCTATACTTTCTTATTTATTAATTTGTGATTTCATTTTATTTTATTTCGTTTGTTTTGTGGTTGACTAATGCTTTCACCTAAACTTGACCCATCATGGTTCATTATTCATTACCATCATCATATTTTTACATATAAACTCATGCCCGTGATGAAATTATTTAATTTTTGTGGAAGAATTTTTTGTGTGTTGATCCCTCTTAGCATTGACGTTGATCTTCAGATGACTTAAGCACCATGACTACTGCAGGTTTTGATGGTCCTTCAGCAAAAAGGAAGAGAAAGAGTCAATTTAGGGGTATTCGTCAGCGCCCCTGGGGTAAGTGGGCTGCTGAAATCAGAGATCCAAGCAAGGGTGCACGTGTTTGGCTTGGTACTTTCAACAGTGCTGAAGAAGCTGCAAGAGCTTACGATGTTGAAGCACGCAGGATCCGTGGCAACAAGGCCAAGGTTAACTTTCCAAAGGAACCAATAGTTCCACAGAAGCGTGGTGCTCGCCCTGGTGCTCCTAAAGCACCAAAGCTAAGCGTGGCATCGAAACCTTCTGTCATGCCATCAGTCAACAACCTTTCCAACCCAAATGCTTTCATCTACCCATCTGCTAACTTTGCATCAAACCAACCACTTGCTCTACCTGACAACCTGTCATTTGTTCCTATAATGAACTCTGATGGCCCTGTTGAAGCCTCTGTTATGAATCAGTACTCTGACCAGGGAATCAACTCCTTTAGCTTCTCTGACTTGGAGTGGGATTACAACACCAAGAATCTAGATATACCATCCATTGCTCCAATTTCTACCATTACTGAAGGAGCAGAATATGCACTTGCCCAGAGTAACGCCTATAACTCAGTTGTGATTCCTGAAGGAGCTGAATCTGCACTTGCCCAGAGTAACACCTACAACTTAGTGGTGCCTCATGTTATGGAGAACAATGGTGTCGATTTCGATGCTTGGCCAAGGTTTCTTATGGATGATGAAGTGGACGAGCCGATTGATAGCCTTCTGAATTTTGATGTACCTCAGGATGTCGTTGTCAACATGGACCTCTGGAGCTTCGATGGCATGCCCATGTGTGGCGAATTTTTATAAGGGATTCACACCCTCTATATAGGGATAAAAGGTAAGCCTTTGCATATTGCATGTCCAGTCTAAGGTTGATAGTCTTTTCAACACTCTTAACTTTCTGTTCCATTTTTCAGGAGTAAGACTATGGGAGATTGGGAAGCACCCTATTGTCACCTTTGGCTAGCATATGCTTATGTCCAAGATTTGATGCAGAAAAGTTGCATCCTAAGTCTCTTTTTGGATAGACCCTTTCCCTACTCAACTGTTTATGTGTGGCATCCATTTATGATGAACCATTTTCTTTATCTTCTGTCAACTTTTATGTCATTGCTACCATTTCTAAATGTGAACAACATGAATCTATGTCCAATTTGTGTTAATCTATGCACTTGATCATTTTTTCCTTTAGTTTTGTATGTTTAATTGGTGACAGAAGTAACCTATATATCTTCTGATTTGGTAAGTTTATGGTTGTGTGCATCATATTGATGCAGGGGCTGGACGTTTCAACCTCTATTTTGAAAGAGTGTGTGTTAGGCCAAATTTTCCTCTATATTATACATCTTCACTTCAAGCTCTGGAAAAACATACCCGGTTTACTAATCTTTGATACTAGATGCATGGTCATATGGAGCTGTTCCTTCTACATGTATTTCTTCTTACCGATGTAGTTCTTAAATAAACATTTAGTGCACCTAATTCATGAGTTGAGGGATATGTTCCATTTCAGTGCATTCTTATAGAAATGCATTTTATTTTTCTCAGTCCTCTCCATGTGAGAAGCCATGTGAAGTACATATACTTTTCACTTGATTTATTACCAGAACCATCACCAAATTGGTGGTCTCGTGTCACTGTCATGTTATGTCCTTGATTTAATTTGACATCGGCATAAGTATGTTAGTAGTAATCTTGATTAGAGGGTCAACTAGTTACATTCATGGAAGGAAAAACTTCTAGTGCTTTCCTATTACATTCATAGGCTGCCAAAGAACCTGCAAGATATATGAGCTAGGTGTTAAGTTGTCAACAAAATAGGAAGGAAAAACTGCAGTGTAGGATCTAGTAACTGAACCCAGAAAGTTGGCCTTCTAGAAGTAGCCATTAGAATAAATATGATCTTGAATAAGATAGCCAGTAAAGAGACCAAAACATGCAAACAAGTTTGTTACCTGAATCAATTGATCTTTAGTGAGAAGAGTGAAGCCAACTATTATTGTCAACCTCCTGATAAATTTGAAAAATCTAGTAAGTGTCCCAAGACCATCAACTAACTTACATCATCAAGCATACTTGATTCCTGCAGAGAATTCATCAAAGCATAATGGCACAATTCATTACAAATTAGTCTTCCAAAAACCAAAAGGATAGTGGTGATACCTTGCACAACGCACATACTTTCAGACACGCTATGGAAGATAAAAGAAGGATTATAGTTCCAAAAGGTAGAGGTTTTATTACTTCCAATCATATAAAGTTTCTGGCATAAATCTTTCCCAAGTTAGAGAAGGCGCGTCAACAAATTAAGAGTATATTTTTGTATCAACCTGCAAAAAAATCAATATATGCATCAAAAAGAAGAAGGAACGTCTTTTAGATGCATATTATAGTTTACAATGATGAGTGGCACACATTATAGTTTAAATTGTAGTTCTTCTACATGCAAGTTGTTTGTGAAACAAATTAATGTGCGCCACTCATCATTGTAATGGAAGGTGTTTATTACAAATTTAAACCATATTTAGTACCTAGGGCCAACTGTTTGTGAAACAAGGGCATCAATCTATGATGTTCGGTTGGTTGTGTTCCTCAAGCAACCAACATATATAGAATGAAGACTGTGAAAGTCATAGCACCATGAAATAGTTTAAAACTTTTGGTGTAGACTGCTGAAAGGTTACTGACGTATGTTTATGTAGCAGATTTTAGCAGCCAATGCTAATCGGAAGTTCTAATAAAAATTACCTTGACATAACCATGGGATACGATATCTCTACTTATTCTTCACAGAATTTTTTTCGCGACAATGATCCAGATATATTAACAAAGTTCAGTAGAAGTACAAAGCATCTCGAACATAATAAACATTACATTGAGATTCCAAGACCCCCAAACAACCACTATTGCCGCCCGATGTAACATCCCAAAATTCTAAATTTTGGAATCTTATAATAAATAGATAGATTTGATTGATTTTTTGATTGTTGTGTGATTGATTGACTGAAGGTGAGTGTTATTTGAAACCTTTTGAAAGTTAAATGAGAGGGAATAAAAGGACTTTCCCAAACTTCCATTTTGCATTTTGATCCCCGTGAATTCAAATTCTTTTCAAATACAAAACCCTAGAGAGAAGATGACATGAATTCTTCCATTTAAATAAATGAAAAGGGCATTTGAAAACATTTGAATTTCATTTGGAACTATTTTCAAATTAAGAAACTTTAAGCAACTCAATGATTTTCACGAGAGAAGATAATATGACTTCTTCAGAAAAAATGAAATATGAGCTGGAAGTTTTAAAAGACTTAAATTGAAAGTCCTTTTGAATTTATTTTCAATTTGGAGTTATTTGGATGTTATTTAAATTATTTTTCTCCAAAATAAAAATATATGGAAATAGGGTAACATGATTCCCTATAACAAAAAAATGGAGAGAAATAAATTCGAAATCATTTTGGTTTTTTCAATGATTTTTATTAGGTTTTATTGCAACAGTAGCACTCCTTGCTTTATTTGAATTTATGTGGATTTTATTCGACTCTACAAAAATGTTCGGGTTGTAGGAAATCTTTTTCTGAAAAATTGGATATATTATATGCCTATATAGTATTTTTGTTTATTTTGTTTTATTTACTTTTGTTTGTCTGGAAAATCTTTAAAAAAAACTTCTAGGCCCCCGACTAGGCCGGCCCAGTTTCTAGGCCAAGCCCAGCCCGCACCGCGTCGCCCCCGACCTCCGACTGGACTCCGGTTCCCGCATGCCAACCGCCGCCGCCATGGACGCCGTGCCGCCTCCGGCCTCCTCTGCCCCCTCCTTCAAGGCCTCCTCCGCCCCTCCCCTATAAAGTCGCCGCCCCAGGCCCCCGCCTCTCTCTCCTCACCTCGCCCGCCTCTCGCCGCACCGCCGCCCTCGCACCGCATCTCGCTTCGCCGTGGTGCCGCACTTCGCCGGCAGCCGCCGCCGCACTTCCCCGCGCCGTCCCGCGCAGCCGCCTTCGCCCGCACCTCGCCAGAGCCGCGCCGCCCTCGCCGGAATCCATTCGCCGCCACCGCCGGTTTTATTTGGTGAACCGGTATAAACCGCTATAAAACCCTTCCCCGGTGTTTCTTCGGTTTATGTGTGTGTATATATATTGGTTTTTCTTTTAGATCAGTTTTTATATTTTAGGTTAGTTATTCTTGCGAGCGTTCATTAGCTAGGGTCCGGGAGCAAACGACTTTCGCTCGTTAGCGATCAGTAACGAACGTCCGCTATTTAGTCTTTTACTTTTATTTTAGTTTTCTGCCAGGGACTCGTTTGTGAATATTTTATTTACAAATTAGCCCCTGATTTTCAAACGATCACTACTTTTTACTCGTTAGTCCAAATCCAACAAAACCAACGCCCACTTCTTCGTCATGATCTCCTCTATCCAGTAAAACAACTTAAACATGTTTTTCAAATTTTAAAATTTGAATTAGATCAGATTTGAATTCAAACTTCGTTTGATCATAACTCGAGTTTTATAACTCCGTTTGAGTTGATTCTTTTTGCATATTAAAGCTCTTGATCTAAACTTTCTGATAAGGCAAAATACACATAATTTTGGTACTGTTAGAAATTATTTTATGTTGCAAGAGTTATTTGGTTTTGATGTTTTCCAATTTGTCTTTTTCGTTCTTTCCGACCTTTTGAGTGACTGCTTATGTGTGGTTACTATTGATTGCTTACGATAGATTGACCAGAGTGTGATGAGTAGAACTATCAAGAGTTTTGAGTGTGAATCATCTTCATCAACAGTACAGGCAAGTTCACACTTTGATCATATCCCTTTCATACCCAGTTTTATGCATTACTTTCACCCTCAAACATTGCATGAGTAGGATTGGTAACATGTGGGTATTGGGAAGTAGTTGATGAGGTAGGAACCTATTGCCCTGCATTCAAACCTCGGGAGTTACTATTACATTATCCTTATATTGCCATGATATGCTCGTAGACGTGGATTGGGTTTGAGTGAATTCATGACAGATGTGAGATTGTTTACTTAATGGTTCAACTTAAGGTGGCAATTTTAATACACATCTGGGTGGATTGAGGCACCTGGGGAACCCAGTGATTGCCTGTATTTTTGGAAATCCTGGGGTACCGTGTGATTCTCCTATGGACTGCCACCCAGGCTCAAAGGGATCATAAGATTATTCATGCAAGAAACTTCCGTGTGCAGCCACAAGCTATGATGGGCTCTAGCATAGTTGATTAAGTTGTGTGAACTCTTACAGTGGTAGACTAGCAGATGTAGGGGATGTAGGTGTACCGGTCTACCCATCATAAGGTGCTAACGCTTCTGAAAGATTGTGTCTCGGTCATCCGTTTCTCAAACATCATGTAGTACCAGAAAACCAACGGAGGAGATCGGGTCTTGTGGGGAAAAGTGCACAAACCTCTGCAGAGTGTACAAACTAATCATGATTAGCCGTGTCCCCGGTTATGGACATCTTGAGTATCTGGTTCTTGGATTATCATATTGATCTCATCACGTTACTTAAATAATTTGTTGGGTTGTTAATGTTTACTTTTAATTGGGATTGAGAGGGGGTTTACCTCCTCAATATTTTCAACCAACCTTGTAGTTTAATAAAAATATATTCCTTTGCAGTAGGGAAAAATTGGCTTTTCGCAAAAACATTATACCCATAGAGCTTTTCCACTAGCCAAAAATGCATGTAGTTATAGCCTTTATTCATCATTATCCTATGGTGTGAATTTGCCAGTACATTCAGTGTACTGACCCTTTGTGGCTGCAACGTCTCATGTTGCGGGA